CAACCTTATTTTTTCGAGGGTTGAAAAAAACAAGAAGTAATCTAAAAACGACATTAAAAATTATGAAAACTCGCTAAAACTCCGACCCGTTGCATGATTTCCGGTACACTGAAGGTCACCCTGCAGACCGACTTGTTTGCGCATGCGTAGTGAACGAAATATTTTACTGCGCAGATATGAAATTTTTTTTTCAAGTTTTCCGTTTTCAGCAAAGCGGTTGAAACGGGCGTATCGGCGGCAACTAACATGGAGTATGACTAATGTCGTGGAAACAAAAGCGAAAGCACTGTAAGATAAACTAAGACAAAGGTTTTTTTAATCCTCTTAGTTTCGTTGTTCTTCCTGGGGTTTATAGTTCCATGGTTTAATCATGAAGCTCAATAAAGAGCTCCATGATTAAATAAAAATTGAGGTTTAATCCAAATATTGTTTGCTTTCAGATTATGCAAGTCACTGGGTACAGTGTGTGTGCTTGGCAAATGTATTCAATGTATGATAAGAAAAGTAAACAAATAATTATGTAACAAGTTACACTTGAACCCTTATTCTGCCTGCCTAATGCACTTTCAAGATGACTTGACCAGATGAGGGTTAATACTGCATTTACTACATCTCAGATGCATTTAGATTAGTAATCATTGCTCTTATATTATCACATCACCTGCTGTAGGCGTCCACGAACAGACAAAAATAGTGAAAAAAAGCAGCTTTAGCAGGCATTGTCATGCAGGGTTCTCCCCAGCAGTTAGAGAATGGTGGACAGTATGAATATTCATTAGCTCATTAATATTCATAAGCTCATTAATATTCAACATTTTGAGAATGAGTACTGTAAAATACTTTATTTTCGCTTGCAATTAATTTTCGCTGAAGGAGTGATCCAGTGAAAATAAAATCCAGCGAATAAATTTTTTCCCCCTATATTTTACATTCAACTTGTCATAAATCAGTGAAAATTAATTCTACACAAAACACCAGCGAAAATTAATTACAGCTAAAATAAAGTATTTTACAGTATTTCTTTCAACAGGAGTCAAAATACTAGGTCATGCGTATGTGTTTTCTACAGACACTGATGTTTCCCATTAGTATATCATCTGTTCTTTAATTAATTGCAGAGAAGTCAGGTGTTTGCCCTATCCCTAACGTCCACAATGTCCGTACTTGCGACAATGAGTGTGATGCTGACACACACTGTACCGATGACCATAAATGCTGCTTTAATGGATGTGGAATGACATGTACAAAACCAGTTATTGAAGGTGGGTAACAGGATTTATGTAAATTGATAATTTATTTGAAGTACATTTTCATGAATTTTGCTTAATTTTTGTTAATAAATTAAATAACCCACAGACATGATTAGTTTAATTTTGATAAACATGCATATTGATTATCTATTGTTAGCTCATTTCTGATATCTAAAAAAATCAGATTTAAATTGAATTCATCACAGAGGTGCTCTGGAAATAAAATAAAAACCATGGAGGAAAATTCAAATGTATTTTCTGTATGTATTATAAATTTTGATACTGTGAATCACATTGTTTTCATCTCATATTAGTTGCCAAGCTTCTCATTTGAAAAGCAAATCTTAAATTTTGAATTATTTTCAATGTGTCTCCAATACTTTAAGCACACAGGAGTTCTTTCTAAGCTTTCTTTGATTGTTAAATCTTGTGTGAAATTTATTCCCTTATAATCTTTCTCATCGTAGGCTGCTTTGATGTCTTTGGTGTGCTGCGTAGCCATGGTGATATTTGGCACAAATCAGACTGTAGTATATGCGAATGTGTTAACGACCAATCTATCTGTACTGAAAGTAAATGCCCAGAAGTTCCATCCCACTGCACTGTCAGACCAGTTGATGGTCAGTGCTGCGGTGAATTAGTCTGTGAAAATACATACCCTGCGACATGTAAGTTGTTATTGTAGTACTCATTGTGATCAGTGGTATGGTAGTGTCTGAATTACAATTAACACATCGCCTGTTAAAACCTCCACCAACCGTGGCTATAAATGTCATATTACGGAGTCAGCAGGCTATGCTTTTAACTTTTTCACCACCAGTTCCCTCTTTTCATCATGAATTTACAAACTAGTCCTGTTTATGGTGTGCACTTTCCTCCTGAAGATTGGGACAAACATAGCCCAATTTTATGAGTGAAAACTGAGAATTGACTAAAATTTTGTCTTTTTGGCTCTAAAATTAGGGTTCATTCCCAGAAATATTGAAGAATATAAGAAAAAAAGTGCAGTAAAATTTGGATGAGAAAGTCTTATTAAAGTTAATATGCGTGACATGATACCCCCCCCTTCTCAGTAGCAAATTTAAATTTAGATATTTGTATAAAATAAAAAATAATATGTATGCAAATTAATTTCCGGTAACATGAATATTATAGGGCATGATGTTCAAATCAATGGGATTAATTAACGTGTTATTATTTGTGTTATTAATAGCATGTAGTCATGGTAACAAGGTATACCCTGTAGACAGTACATGGGTGGTTGATAGCTGTACCACTTGTAGCTGTATTGATGGTGTAACAGTGTGTGATTCCGTAACCTGCCCCACAACCAATGTACCCGGATGTAGACCATCCTATGTGAAAGGGAAATGCTGCCCAGAAAAGATTTGCAAAGAACGTAAGTATAAAGTAACTTAAAGTTCCCTCTGATAATACTTTTCAGCTCCGCTATCGACTTTGTCGAACAGAGCTTATCATATGAGTGATTGTTCGTCATCCACATTAATCCTTCATGGTGTTTGTTCTCATTAATTAAAGTCTAAATTAGTGTTGAACCATGGGATGAGAAGAAAAATCTGATAGTAATGAAATTTTAAAGAAACAAAAACAGCACAATTTTGTGATAAGTAAAAATTCTAGAAGCCAATAAATTACGAACATTTGCCAAATATTCAGATGGTTGAATGCAGTATTCTGTGGGACGGATATTCGGACAACCACAGCTGGTGATAACAACTCCTATGTTAGTTGTTGAGACTCTTGAACAGTGTAACAAGATTTACCCCGACATGTACAACATATATAAATTTGGTTGTTTGGGATTGTTTCATAGTTGAGTTTGTACTGTTTTTTTTTTTACTTTAGCTGTTTTCACCGGCTCTTCGACTGGTGTTTCACAGCAGCTTGCACAGAGTCCATGGATACACATGGCACCATAGAACGTTCTGTGACATAGCTCTTTTCCCATTAATAGGATCAACCTCTACTTTTGTATCAGTTTTATCCTTATATATGTTACATGTATAAATGTTAAAATACAGATTTAATTTTTTTTTGTAGCTGACAGTTGTGATGTAAACGGTGAAGTTCACCTGAATGGAGAGGTCTGGTATTTGAATGAATGCAACAGATGTCACTGTGTCAAGGGTAAATACTACTGTACAGAGACTAAATGCCCAGTACCACAAGAAGGCTGTCAATATGATATGACACGTACTGTGAATAAACAATGCTGCAAGAACATTACATGCACTACCTCAAGTAAGTTATTTATTCAAACATTTAGGACATTTGTTGATTCTTCTATGGGTGATATGCTGATTTAACACAGTGTATTCTGGGTAATGAAATGCATGATGGTTATTGAGTCACCAATGCATTATGCAGGGTTTGCGCTAGTGTCTCGGCAAGACAAGACCCACTTACAAAATTTTAAGAAACTGAAATTTAACCCTGGATAACTTTATTAGAGATTGGACCCCAGCTTGCCTGAAAACTGTTGTGTTGAAATCTGTGGGTGATTTATGAAAATAAACTGCAATGCATTGTGAGCAATTCAAGTATAGTTGATTTAATCACCAGTGCCTCTGTGGATTGTCCGATTATTGTATTTGCTCTATTAGTAGCACTTGCACTTCTTTAATAACATAGATGTGCCAATGGTCAAACTTGAATTTATATAATTTATAATTTATTTATAATTTATGATACAAATGATGCAACCTTGAAGCTGTGCATCTAATTAAAGTATGGTAAATGCGGTGATTCTTTGTTATTTATGGAAAACTTTATGTTTTGTCTGATTATATAGTTTAAATTATTTTTCTTGGCAGGTTCTGAGAAGACATGTGAATACATGGGTGAAATGAAAAACTCAGGTGAAGTATGGAAAAAAGATTCCTGCACAGTGTGTGAATGTGATGAAGGCAAGACAATGTGCACTGTCAATACCTGCCCTAAAATGAGTGTGCGTCCAGGATGTCATGCTGTTAAAGTGAATGGACAATGCTGCCCTGAGATAGTCTGTCGTAATAGTAAGTCTACCTTGTCTTACAATTTATAGTACCAAAGTACTGTAAAATCTGTATTAAAAGCCACAGCTTCTATTAAAATGGTACAATGCAACAGAGGGTATTCGGCTTCTATTAGAGCATCTACACATATGAGAAATGGTGAATTTTTGGATCTCAATTGTTCAAAAAAAATCGGTACAGCTTCTATTAGGGATGCGGCTTCTAATACAGATTTTACGGTAGTAAGAAGTAAGCTACACCGGGCTTTACATGAGGATATTAGATAATAAGAGATTGATGTAGATAATAATGAAATTATATGAAGAACTTGATATATTTAATTTCTTAGTTTTAACTGATAGTATGGTTCACTAGGGGAAAAATTGTTTGTTGTTTGGATTGAAATTCAGGGGGAAGGTAATTTAGGGGGAACATATTCTTTTAAACACTTCTTCTACCATCTCTTCCCTGAATGTTTATTGCTTCATCTTTGAATTCTTTTAAATGCTTCTTCCACCATTTCTCCCCTGAATTTCTTTTGGTCCATCCTTTAATCCTTCTCAACACTTCTTTTACCAAATCTCCCCTTTATTTTTTAATGGTCCATCCCTTAATCCTTCTCAACACTTCTTCAACTGTCTCTCCCCTGAATTTAAATGGTTAATCCCTTAATCTTATTATCTACTTCGCATTACTTCATTTTGCTTATAGAGAAATAAATAGAATTGTAAAACTGTAGATCTTTGCTGCCACTCGACTAGCTTTACAATGTGAAATTACTGCTCACTTTGTAAATAAATAAAATACCAACTTTGTTTCATTTGAATTTAGTGCATAGCTGTATGATTGATGGTGTAGAACATCGCAACGGTGAACAGTGGATGCACGATAATTGTACCATCTGTAGATGTGAACTTGGACATAAATACTGCACAACCAAGACCTGTGCTGAACCTAGCAACTATTGTGCATACTCTACTCAAGTAACACCAGGAACTTGCTGTCCTCCTGTACTCTGTCCTTTTGAAACATGTGAGTGGGAAATTATAATTGATTCAACCATTGAATTGATTTGATAAATTTGTGTAATGATAATGATGCTGATGATGACGATGATAATGATGATAGTTTTTCTTACTTTCAATTTTACAGCTACTAGAATGTGCAGAGAAAATGTTGGAGACGTTATGAAGAACTTCAAACATGGTGAAACTTGGATGCGTGATTCATGTAGTCAGTGTACTTGTCATCATGGTACTGCACTTTGTCAAGATCAAACCTGTCCTATGTCTGTATCTCCTGGATGTCGTACTGTACCAGTTGATGGACAGTGCTGTCCTAACATTGTGTGTGATACAGGTTTGTCATATTCAACTCTGTCTCGTTCTGATACTAAGAATACCTCATACATTTGTTTGCTCTGGACTTGACTGATGAAAACACATTTGCTATTAATCTTTAATTTTCTATCATTCACAGTAAAAATTGGCCAGTGTCCAGTTGTGAACCCATTCATGTCGAAGTCAATCACTGTCGATACCTGCATGTCGGACACGGATTGCTCTGGCACAACTAAATGCTGTTCCAATGGTATTGCATTCACTTGTATGGCCCCCTGGACTGTTGAGAAACCAGGCATGTGCCCCCAAACCAATCCACTTACAACACCACTGCGTAATATGTGCGTAACAGAGTGTACTAATGATATGGACTGTGTAAATGAATGGAAGTGTTGCAGTGAAGGTGGATGCAGCATGATTTGTCGTCCTCCTGTTACCATGACAAACACAAAGACCAGGAATTTTGAAAACATGAAAGAACCAATGACAAGAAAAGTTTCCATGCTGACAGGCACATGTAAGTAACTACCGTTTACTCTTCTTTAGCACTGAATGTCTTAAACTGATTGACATTTATAGTTTTACCTTCTGGTATTATTTGTTGTCAAGGCGATCAAGATGCAATATAAAAAATAATGGCTAATAGTCATAAATAAACAAAACAACAATTTACAAATTATGGGAAAAAAAAAAAAATGTTTACACAAGATTTTAATCTGATTTTGCATGTCTGAGAGTATATGTGAACTTGTATTCAAAAATGAAAATGTTTTTAAACTTGATTACATATGATTAAAGAATTTCTAGAAAACAGTAAACATCTCAGAAAAGGGGACGAACATGTATTGATTAAATGAAGGATAATTAAAAATAGGATCTGACTTCTTAAATTTATTTTTTCACAAGGACCAGTACAATGTATACCATGAGACTTACATTAAATAATTTGTTCAAATTTCAGACAAGTCTGGTGAGTGTCCTAATATCTCGCCATATGGATGGAATTCTGGTGTATGCGTGTCTCATTGTACTTTAGATATTGACTGCCCTGGTGACAACAAATGCTGTTCCAATGGATGTGGAGCAATGTGTATGCCACCTAAGAATCCTAGTAAGTCATTATTTCATAATCCTACAATTGTTGAACTTCAGTGTGGTTTTAAAGTGGTTTTAAAGTAACCTTGATCTGGAAAACTGCTATCTCCATGCAACATTTTAATTTAATAATGGAACATTGACATGGATGGTCAAACGTGAAATTAAAATTTGTATATTTGTAATCAAATAATAATTTTTTGTTTCTAAATGTACTCAGGATTCAATATTATTCCATTTTCATAATTCAACCAATTATTTTGCTGGAAATTCCATAAAACTTATTGAAAATTAGTTTTTGTTCACTCACTTGCGTATAGTATAAATTTGAGTTTTCATTCTTTTGAAGTGTCATCTTGTTGGGATTGACAGTGTTTTTTTTTTATATTTACATTTTTTTGTGCCAGGTGACAGTTCAGAACATTGAATGTCACTGTTGTCTCTCCTGACTTTGTTTTTGTATGTGTAAATTGCAAGTGCTAGTGCTGACACATAGTGCAATTTTTCCACCAAAGCCATATTCATTTTTGGGACCACATGACAGGGCTGTACGTCCATCTCTCTATCAAATGGCAATTTAATGGACCTGCGGACATTAACCAAGGTTCCCCCAAAGTCGCATTGGTTTAATAATGAATGAATCTTGGCCAGTAGATTTGACCATTCCATTTAGTCTATGGCACATTCGCCCAAGGGTAGGGGTCGACCATTTTTGATGTTCAGCCTAAGGTAGGATTTGAACTTGGGTCATGAGTCTGATGCAACAACCACTGTGCATGCTACCAGTGACCGGAATTGACAATGTTGTTGTCAAAACAAACACCACTTACAATGTCTCTAGGAATATTACAATGTTACAGGAGAAACTAATAGGGCATTAGCTGTTTTGCTGATCAGTTTATTTCAGGCTTTCTTTGTAAGCAATTTGTATTGTTGAGAGAACTAAATAAGAGCATTCATACATTGCATATTTCGGTTCTCTTTGCAGCCAAATTTGGTATGTGTCCATTCAATCAACCACGTGGTGTCTGTAAACGTGTTATCAATACCTGTACTGAAGACTCTGATTGCATTGGAAATAAGAAATGCTGTAACAATGGATGTGGTCTCAAGTGTGTTGTCCCTGATGTTGACAGTAAGTGATCACTCCTATATAGTAGTGGTTTGTTCTTGTAATATTAGTATTCAACATCAGCTCAAATTACTAAAAATATCAAGTTCTGAACCATTCCGCAATAAATTATTGAAATTGTTCATGCATCTCATAAGTGGAGAATAATTAAAAATATCAATACAATATTGTGATATACATGTACTGTAAGACTATGTCCAGAAAGTAAAATACTGACAATGTGCTGTGTATGTTGGTGTGGCTCAGTAGAGTCAAATAAGATAAATGAATTAGTACTGAATAATGACATTTTGTATTTTTATTCAGCTACAATCTGCACATCAGTACCAGCAACGTGCACTGAGAAGTGCCTTGAAGGTTATGCCACCAATGATAAGGGCTGTGAAATCTGCAAGTGTAAGAAAACACCTGAGATGTGTGGAACTGAAGTCATGTGTGATCTATTCTGTCAGTACGGATTTGCCACAGACAATAGAGGCTGTGAAATCTGCAAGTGTAAGGAACCAAGTAAGTTATTAAATTAGTTTGGCAGCCAGTCATTACTCTCTGTTGTATCATCTGTGGTTGGGTTCGGTCGCCACATTCCAACTTGAGTAAGGATTTCAGCCGAACAACTTGAACTCTCACGAATTACTAGTTAACACAAACTGCATTTATTTGCAAACAAAACTCTTCAAACAAAAGTGTAAACTTCTGATAAATACATAAACTTGTAGAATGCCTTAAAACATGATGAACTAACTGACCCACAGTTCAGCACAGACTAAAACTAGAACAGAACTACCGTTTAACTTTTAAAAGGAAAATAGAACATTACGGCGTTAACCAATCAGTGACTGCGTACTAAATTAATAATGGAGTATCAGCCAAAATCTATGGCTTATTATGTTTTAAACGATATCATCACTGTATCTCCAATAGAAGTGTACATATTATAAAGGAAATGAATTTATTGTGTCAATTTACTATCGGTATACCTAAATACAGTATTTTAAATAATTAATGATAAAGCTGTATTGAAAATGCTTATTTTCTAGATACTGTGTAATTAATTATCTCTAACCCTTGATGTTTTTTAATTTTAATAAAATATTTGCGTTGTATTTGATTTGTTATCAGCAATGCCAACAATGAATATGATGTCACCAGAAATAAGTTCATTATTCTGTAAACCAATCACAAGAGAGACATGTAGCGTGAAATGTAACCATGGATACATGACTGATAGCATTGGATGTGAACTCTGTGCCTGCCAAAAACCAGGTAAGAGATGATTATTAACTTAAATTTACCCTTATGTTATTCTAAAAAAATCATCACATATTTATACAAAAATTGCCTTTACTTTCCTCTCATACTGGTGTATAGTTTTATCTTATTGTTGCACATCAAGGGAATACGCTTCACTGTTACTATGTGTGTTGTGTTACAGAAACTGAGTGTACACCATTAACTGCCTGTGCACAGTACTGTCCATATGGATATGCTACAAATACTGATGGATGCAAAATGTGTATGTGCAAACAACCTAGTAAGTATTATCTTGTCTTGTCTGGGAAACATCTCCTGATGGTATTCTCGGGAGTGGACATCCGGGCATTTTCAGCACATGGCAACCAACACGGTGAAAACAAAGGCCGAAAACTCTCAGAAAACGGTACTTTGGGATGGTTGTTAAGACTCCCCTGAACAGTGTAACAAGATTATACCCATGCATGTGTAACACATATAAATTTGATTGTTTTTCAAATTTTCACCGGCTCTTCGCTCGGCGTTCCGCGTACCTCAGCAGTGTGCGCAGAGCCCATAGAAATACATGGTACAGTGGTGCGCGTGTTAGCAAACGTGGAATGTCTTGTGACGTAGCTCTGCCCCGAGGATAGTGTATTCACTTTCAATTCATGGGTAGAATAGAAACTGAAAGCCCCCTCTACAGATAGGTGAAATGAACGGGAAAACGCAGGTGATATGTAAGCTGATTATAAATGATCATATGAGACTGCAGGCAGTTTATGTATGAGGGCACTGTATGATGTATGAGGGTGCTACATTGGTGTGGATGGGGAGCATCATACTATGGCGTTGAGGGTTTTATTGGTTGTCTGGGAGTGATGCTACCTTGTTTTCTTATTTAAATTACATTCTTGTGTGCAACAAATTTATATATACCGGTAATGTTTAACTTGAAAGAAATGTTATCAAGTGATGAATTTTGTAATATCACCGGTGATTACCGGTACATGTGTTGAAATATTTTAATTTTTATCATGTCATTTATTACAGCAATCTCCTTCTTACCAACTGGTCTGTGTACACCATTGACTACAGAAACATGTGACAAGACATGTTCAAATGGATATGCCACCAATGAAATAGGATGTGCTGTATGTAAATGTATGAGAGCTGGTGAGTAATTAGTAAACTAAGGAGTCCTGTATCCCAAGCCCCCTAAGTGAGCAATAGTAAAACTATTTTAGATTACACATCTTTCAAATTCTGTAAAATACATTATATTTCCTAGTTAAAATTACTGGTAATTAATTAATTAAGACTTTTGGGTGTTTTGTTTGGAATATATTTTCACTGATTTTTAATGAGTTGAGTATAAAATGTTGAAAGGGTATATTCACTGAATTTTATTTTTACTGAATCATCCCTATCAAGGAAAATAAATTCGAACCGAAAATAAAGTATTTTACTACAGTATGCAGTCTTGTAGTGGAGGCCTTGTCTTGATCACTCAATACCCACTTTACATGTAGTTATAAATGAAGGCCACAATGCCCCATCCCTTTAACAAATTGAACAATTTGATTTTGAACTTCAATTTTTTTTTATAGCTCTAAGTTGAAATTCCGATTTTTGAGAAGGGATTATTGTGTTGAGATACCCTTACCTGATGAAAAGTGACCATCATTAAATGTGTATAGCACATTATTTAAGCACGAAAATACTCATATAATACATTCACTTTCGTCAGTTCCCATGTGATGTTGACGTCAGTACAACACTATAACCTTTCTTTGTTTTGTTTTTACGTTCGATTTCATGCATATCGCAGGATATGGTCTATTACTATATTACGGAAAATGGTCTATTACTACAGCATATTCTTTTTTCATAATATTTTCACAGAAAGTGAATGTGTAAGAATGGAAAGCTGTAATATCAGATGCCCATTTGGCTATGCTACAGACGACACTAGATGTAAAATCTGCAAATGCAAATTGCCAAGTAAGATAAAATGAATAAATTTCTTCTCATAAAATACTTTCTGTAAAACATTATCACTGCTAGTAATATTTATGATATGATAGCTAGAGGGCACATTTCTTCAGATTGTGTATGATTATGTATTTTACGTTCTGTAAAATCATTTCTTTTCATTGGCAATCTATTTCAGTATTTTGATATTTTTAGTGTATTCCCTGGGTTCATGAGTTACATTGTTATTTCATATGTTCACATATTCATATGAATTTAATTTCAAATTAACGAATTTCACTTGATAGCGAAAATTAAAATCCAGTGAATAATTAATTCATTTACAGTATTGTATTCTTGCTGAATAATTAATAATATGCCACAAATGCCAATATGAAAAATATTTAGAAAAACTGGTAATACCAGAAAAATTTTTTTTTGTTGAAACTGTTAAATCAAAACAAAATTTATCAAATGTATATTCACTCCTACATTTTTACCTTGCCCGTACCATCAAAGATGGAAGGGAAAGGTATATTAAGGGAAAAATTTGTCTTTAATATTATTTGTCCTGTGTCATTATAGCTATGTGTCCTCCAGTTAATTCTGAGAATTGCAATGAGGAATGCACATATGGTTATATCACTGACAAGTTTGGATGTGAAATCTGTTCCTGTAAATCCCCTGAGATGGGATGCAACGTGGATGAATCAACTGAAATGATACGCATGAAAGAAACGTGTGCTTTTGGTCTGTGTACTGATGCCAATGGTTGTGATGAGAACAAATGTAAGATGCCATGTAAGTATAAAACAAACATTTTCTGTAACCACTCTAAAAATATTTCCTTTTCTCCTTCACCATTTTCTCTTCCTCCATACTTTCCACATCCCAGTGGGCCACACAAAATAATAATTGACACTATATATGACAGCATATGACACCACAAATATGTGTGGTCTATAGTGACATATATTTGAAATAAATAAAAAAAGTAATGCTTAAAGCGCCTAGCAAAACACATAAAAAGTTCTCAATGACAATAAGCCTGTTTTATTTATTAGGTTTTTAACTTTTAAAATTGTGTTGTTATTCTTTACATCAAGTGGTTGATAATTTCATAACCTGAGAGCCGCATAATAGAAGACATGTAAATGTTGGTGTATTTAAAAATTTATATTTTGAGCACAGACTAGCCAGACAACAAGCTGTCATTAGATTTGATAAATCAGGGAGCTGTATAATGAATGGCGAGAAAGCTTAGCAGTAAAATTTTATAATTAATTTTTATTCTTCGTTACTAACAGCTACATGTACTGCAGTCACTCCCATGACATGCAAGCTGAACTGTCTCTATGGTATGGCCACTGATAAATATGGATGTGAGACATGTATGTGCAAGAAACCAGGTAAGGATGCAAGTTGACACAAAATCTATTAATTCTATTATTTAACCAAGATTTATAAGATGAGGCTATGCAATGAAAATTGAATGCGAATTAAAGAAGTCACATAAACTGCGATATGATCACAAAATTGCTAGGAAAACCTTATTCCTAGAAATCTCAATGCAGATTAGTGACAGAACCAGTTCGTGTTCAATTCAGACCCTTTTTTGTAGTGTCTTTGTATATTCACAAAGCATGTACTTGTGTTTTGCATTATTGAATGGGGGCAATAATCTCAGTCATTTCCATGCACCCACTGCATTCTGTAATGCTAGTAATTGAAACTGTGTTTGATTGACGTGCATGGAATGGGATCACTTTCACAAATCATGAGGATTTGCTTCTTATTACATCTTCATCACATATATTATACATATATTTATTTAATAAATCTTTAGTATTAAATATATTACTCTTCCAGTGCAGCCCTATAATATATGTAAAAATGTTTGTCTATTTGGTTTTAATAGCTATTGGTAATGTTTGTTTTTCCAGTAACCCAGTGCAGTCCTATCAGCAATGACATGTGTACAAACTTCTGTCCATTTGGTTTAGCTACAGACAGTGTTGGTTGTGAAATCTGTCGCTGTAAACAACCAAGTAAGTAGAAAACATGATAAAGTGACTACCTGGTCACTTGATGATTTGATTGGTCAAACCTTTTTTAGTTCATGACAAAATGTTCACTTGATGAATTGATTGGTCAAAAACTTTCCATTTAATGACACTTTATTTGATTGGCCAAAACTTTTCCAATTAATGACACTTGATTTAATTGGTCAAAACCTTTTTAGTTCATGACATCATGTTCACTTGATGATTTGATTGGTCAAAACC